TTAATTTGATATAGGGGCTTAGGTATCTACATCTTAAACCGGACGCGCTACATCGCTTGGACGTGAGACACCCCTGAAGGTATACGGTAACCTTAATTTGTGAACACCGCGTCACAAACTTTCCCGCCTTTTCAAACCATTACTTCGTTTAGATCACACTGAAATGTCCACGTCATCCAATCGATTGAAGACTTTTAAAACAGTTATTCCATGTGCTCTTCTTGGAAACGAAATGTTTAAGAAATTGTTAGTACTGGGAGAAATATTTTTGTACTGGGATAAAAATTTTTGAACTGGGATAAATATTTTTGTACTGGGATAATTGCTTTTGTACTGGGATAAATATTTTTTTTTTATTGGGGTAATTATTTTTGTACTGGGATAATTATTTTTGTACTGGGATAAATGTTTTGTATTGGGAGAAATATTTTTGTACTGCCCCTGTGGGCCACCGTAGTTTTCTTGCGGCTGGTACGCTCTGCTCCAGATCTCCGACAGGAGCCCATGATTGCCCATGATGGGCTCCTGTCTCCGATTATTACTGCCTCTCCCCCCTCCCTCGCCCACCCCCTCCCCCACTCCCCCATAAACTAATTATATCGAGGAAAAAAATTTGAAGAAGTTTCTTCTTTCGCAAATAACTAATTCCCAATCCCCTTTCGACAGGGCAACACGCTTAGCATGGCGGGAAAATACAAATCGCAGCAGAGTTTCTCAGAGGGGTTCAGCTGTTCATTAGCTTTGATTTGATCGTTTCTCTTTTAATTTTGGTTTTTATTGTCAACGTTGCTTTGGAGGAAACCCTTGTTTTACGGATAAATACAACTTGCGTGCTGGATTAAATGTCGTTCGAAGATTTTCCCAGGGAAGCTTGTGAAAGCTGGAACGAAGTTGGTTTGGTTTACACGCGAAACAAATATGGCCGTATGCGTTCGCCTCCAGGATACACATTAAGTCGCAAAAACGATGGTTCTTTCAAAGACAGTCTCTTCAGAGGTATGTCTTAATATTACTAACGATAAGATGTGCTATCAATAGTTGAAAAGCTTTTTAAGTTTATAAGCTCATAAAATTTGAAGTCCTCTCCTAGAGAAGTCTAATATAGGCTTTGATCAAGCTTTATTTGGCCCCGAAAAGAAAATATTGAAATAAAAATTTATACCGAATCAGTCTTGACTACTGACGTGGATGTCAGTGTTTTCATCTTTCTTCTTATGCAATCCTGAGTAATAGCTTGACTGCTATAAAAATATATACTATTTTCCTCCCTGAACACCCTAAATAATGCCAATCTGCAATGGTGACCGCAGCAAGATGTGACATTAGTTTAAGGTGACAAGCATCCCGACCCTCTCACAGGAGAGTTCCCCTCAGTGGGTACTCAATGTGGTTTTGGTGCCCAGGGGATGGATAGGAAGAGGGAGGACGCAGATTTCTTCCTGATTCTCATACCTATTGCTTTCAATTCCTGCTTCCTACTCTGTGGCTTCGGTATTTTTTGTGCATTTATGTCTCAAACTACTGTACATTTGAACCTCCACTAACGGCCACCTCTCGACAACGGCCACTTTGTTTGGTCCCAGTGGACAGTCCATACATTCACTCTCATTTTAACCTGTCTACAATGTCCACCTTTCCACAACAGCAATGGAAAACTCATCTCAACCAGCCAAAAAAACCGCTACTGAGCAGCCAGTTAATCAACGACTGATGAAAGGTGTATACAAAATCCCATTTTTTTATTGTAAATGGACACCAAACTTTATCTGTACCACACATCACTAGTCTCTGTTTCTGTTAAGTGTCTGTCGCATTGACACATTTTTATCTTTATATGCTAAAATGGGCATCTTTTAACAAAACATGTAGCACCCCCCTTAAGAAACAGGTGTCATATTACACCCCTACCTCCTCATGATAGCCATTTCTTTACAGCAGCCACTTTCCTCTGTCACCAAGGTGGTCTTTGTGGAGAGGCTCAACTGTGTTATGTTGTGTTTGAATATTTGTTTTTATTTTTCTCAGTTCCTTCAACCTTTAGAATTCCATTTTCTACTCTGTTGCCTCACCTCCCACAGATGTTTTGCCACATCAACCAGGTTCCCCTTACTCCTCAGCCCCACTTAGGAACCCTCTTATGATTATGAATTGTCAGTTACTGCAGTGTAAAAACCTGGTTATTGAATTTCTAGGTCAGGGTTACAGTATACAGAGGGCAGATTTTTGATGTGGAACCATTGTGACCTATGTGGAAGGCTTTTCCCTCTGACCTTTCTTTATCTGCCAACTAAAAGGTTAAAAAAATTGTTACTTAGCTCTTAATATGTTTTTTTTTTCCACAGGAGCAAACTGTTCAGTCAACACGGATAACAACACCTACAATCCTCAACTCCTCTTTCGTATCTGTCTGGATTATGTTGCTAAGAACATATCTATGGTAGAATCTTTAGATGGATTTCCAGACATTGTTGGAGAGGAGCTTTTCAAAAAAGTCCAACAGAATGGTGGATTTGGATCCGACCCCAAGAATTTGAAGTTGTTCTGTGAAGCGTATGGTATTCTTGTGTTGTCAAAACTGTCCCTTACCTCAGCACACATTCTAACAAGCAATTATTTGGAATATCTTCAACTGTTTGTATATCTGACAGAGCTTGATGTCAGTCAATGTCGTCTTGGAGATAGTCATGAGCTGTTGTCATACATTGCTCATTTACATGGGTAGGGGTTGTACATAATTTTGTATTTTTGTGTTTTGACACACCTTAGGATCTCAGGAAAACACTAACAATGTAGAAATGCTAGGTCATCTCTAGAATGTTTTCTTTTAGGCTGCTTGAGTAGTTGAAGACTCTTGTTGGTCATTTGAAGCAACCTTGAAGCATGTTTACTGTAGGCAGTGTCAATCAACATTATCAACCAATTTATCGGCCAACACTTGATACATCAGCCAAGTATCCGCCTTGTATTGCCTGAGTGTCAACTGATACACGGCTGATATATGGGCCGACAGTCGGTCATGTGTTGGTTGGGTATGCATGTCAGTCAAGTGTCAGTCTAGTAACTGCCGAAATGTTGATCGGCATTTGACCAAAACTGGACCAATGCTCAACCGACACTGCAATGACTGTCAGCCAATATATGAGCTATGTATCGCCCAAGTGTCAACTGATACTCTGCCGATGTGTCGACCGAGTGTTGGTCAATATATTGGTCCATAGTGTCGGCTGACACTACCTACAGTAAACATGATCTGTGGCCTTTACACTTCAGTGTCTTCTGAATTGTGGTTAATGTGTTAGGTATTGCAAAACTGTTAAACAAGGTTGATTTGCTGCTTGTCATTGAACATGATTCTAATAACATATTGTACACAAGTCTAGCAACTTGTTGGTCATGTAGAATCTAGCAAACCATTTTTCAATCTCTTTATTCTCTCCCTGATTTTTATTGCAGTTTAACAAAGCTCAGCCTCAAAGAGAACTGCCTTTCTGACACTGGCATAAGAAAACTGACAATACCACAGCGTCTTTTGAGAGGTGGACTTGGGAACCTATCAATTCTGGATTTATCCTTAAATCCTAGTATCACAGATGATAGCATCAAGCACGTCATAAAGCTTAATTCTTTGACTGCCTTAAATCTGTCTGGTACTAAAGTAACTTTTGGATATGGAGTCCCACAGCTTATGAACCACACAAACTTGTGTTTAGCAGTGGATGTAAGTAACAGAAATATACATAGCTTAATGACGAAGGAACTCAGAGATATACAGTACCTTTAGGTCCTTACAAACAAAAAACTGTTGTTTCAGAGACGCTGTTGCAGAGATACAGTTCCCCTGGATCATGTGTACTAAAGGCATCTGCAGATGAGTGTCGATCAACACCTGGATCAACACTCGATCAACATCTTGATCGATACTCAGTCTACACTTACCAACATCAGTCGACAGTCAGTTGTGAGTCAACTAATTTCCGCAGACACACAATCAAGTGTCAATTGATACATATGAGTCAGTCAACATTTAGCCAGCTTTCAACCCACTGTTGATCAGGTGTTGATTAAGTATCGATCAAGATGTCCATCAAATTTTGATTGAGGGTCCATCAAGGGTAAAATTGATACCCGACCACGGATGCCTTAAGTACATATGATCTGTCATGATCCATTCTACTTTTACATGTAAAACAGCACAAGGGACCAAATGTTTGAAAAAATTAAATTGCATAAACGAGGCCTGGGGGATAGATTTTGAGCATGTGACATGACATCATACAATTACAATCTATTTTTTGCAGAGAACTAAAAATGTGAATCAAGGTGTATAAAATATAATGCACACCTGAGGCATTGCTGGCCTGCAGAGCAAGAGTTCTCCTATGAACAAATAGCTTTTTCCACATTCTGGCCATGCAAAAATTGTGGCAAGAGCAAAACAAATCGACAAAGGGTAAGGTGGCCACACCCCAACTCCTTTGATTTTTTGCTTTCACCCCAATTTTCACATGACCAGACTTTGCTTGTTCAACGTTGAAAACACTTGCTACACAGGCTAAGGCATTGTACTATGTAGTTCATTTCACTCAGTTATATTCTTATTGTTTCTACCATTTCTTTGTGCTTATAATAAGCTCTATGTACTGTATAATATAATGTTCAGTGGGTTTGGTATACACTGTGGGAGGTATAGACTTGGTGGCCTAATAATAATATTAGCATGCTGGACTCTAGATCCAGTGGTCTGGGTTTGAAGCCTGGAAACCGAAATGGGCTGTTTTGGTATGTTCTTCAGCAAGACACTTTATTTTCACACTTCTCTTCATCCAGGTGTAGAAATGGGTAGCAGCAAATTAATGTTAATGTTAGGGGTAACCCTGTGACAGACTAGCATCCCGTCCCATTGGGAACACTCTTTGTTGCTTAATGCTTTTGAAACCAGAGATATACGGGGCTTGCCTGATAGGCCACTGGGCTCAAACTCAGACTTATCCTTAGTATGCACTATTCTAAAATCTGGTATTTATTTTATTTTATTTTATTCATAAAAATGTATGAAAAATGCATGAAATTTATTTCTGAATTTATGAAAATGTATATAAATTTATGATTAATTATTTTATGAAAATGTATGAAAAATCTGGTATTTATTTTATTTTATTTATCTATATTTACACAGATTGATCATTTCAAGTCAGGTCAAGTTTTTACAGTCACTGAAGGATGGGCTGTTGGTGTGATTGATGACTGGACAGAAAAGTCCAAGACTTGCACTGCAAGAGGCAAAGCAAATGCACAACTTGAAAAGAAAAGTGTTAAGTTCTACAAATCATCACGATCAGGCTTAATGCAAAAGACTGCTGACAAAAACAACACCATCAGTGAACTTCCAACAATCATGCTGAGTTCAAAGACAACTAGACTTGCTTGTTCAAGCTCTACAGAAAAGCGGCAACCTGAAAGAAAATGTATGAAAGACAACAAGGAGAATTCTGCAAGGAATGATCAACCCAAAAAGAAGTTAAAGATGAGTGCAGATGCTTTAGTAACATTGAACAATGTGGAAACTTTAGAAGATGACTTCATTGAACAGTATTTAAACTACAACAAGCAGTGGAAGCCTGCGCAGAGAAAATGTTCACTATTAGAGTCATTAGATCAGGTCAGATAGGTAAGTAAAATAGAGATTAGATAGGTTAAGTGAAATAGTTAGTCTATAATGTTCTATAAATAGACCTCCGATGATCAACTGCCTAGTTGATTTAGCCATCTGGTTATTACCAGGGCTATCATTAAGGGCCGTGACCCCTAATCAAGTATGCTTGATTGGCCATTGATGTTACAGGTGAAATTGCCTGTTGGTAATAGAATTCACTGTCCCATAAAATGTGAAGGACAGGGCTACGGGTGACTCAAAACTTAATGACAGCCCTGATTACCAGGGGTTCCATTGACATTTTCAGTAGGAGGACAACTGGTTTTCACAAGTGGACAAAACTTTCTGAACTGTCATCTAGATGGTCAAACTAGGTGGGCAAAATCATCCTTACAGCTAGTAAATTTACCAGGTGCCTGGCCCTTAATGAAACCCCTGTTATACTGTCCTGTTCTGTTGTCCCCAAGGAAACTGATTCATGATCAGATCATGGTGGCCTATTTCTGGTCACATTTATGGAGTGGGTTCTATTGTATACATTTTAGTACCTAGTTACCAATAAGTTCTCCCCTCTGTACTTAAAACCCTGCTTAGCATTGTGCTCCTCAAATCTTCTGTGCGTGGAACTCAGTTAATATCATACAAAGTAGGTCCGCGCTTCTCATGGCTTCACCCTTTGCCGCTCGATCGCAGAAACCTAACTTCTTGCTGGCTAGGAAAAGAAAGAGACTGCTTGCAGTCTTTGGCAAACATATTGTTCATAAGGAAAGATTTGATTGTATTATCAAATGCTGCTAGTCCTCAAACACAGCTCATCTAACACTAAACAGGTACACAAAAATATTGAGCATGAGTTGCAGAAGAAATGAGTGAGGAAAAGTCTCTAAACATGATTTTAAGTGCAAAGAAAGCCTTGTTCAAACTGAACCATGTTATTTATCCAATTTTTAGGGAATAGCCCTCTTTCTCTGCAAAGCATTCACCTCTAAATCCTGACTAAATTGTACAAGCATCGGGCTGCGGGCAGTAAACTGCATTCCACAAAATGATATTGTACACATAATGTACCCATGCAAAAACTATTCTGTGTTTTCTTGATTAAATGTCAGGGGTGGTATGCACTGTGCACAGTATGCTAATACGTCTGAGCATGAGAATAAAGTGAAACCTGTATTAAGCGGGACCCCTTGGGACCCTCACAGTGTAACACTTTGTGAGATCAAAGACCAGCTAAGACTGCTTGTAGTACAATATCCAGTCGATCAATACATCAATCTGGAATAATCACTTAGCTTTAAAACGTTATTGCTGAACAATGTTAAGGAGTCTCAGCTGAACCTTCAGAAGTAAACTGAGCCCTTGAAGTGTCTGCTTATTGCAGGTTTTGTGCAACAAAATGGCTTAATATTGGTGCCTGCATCCATTTAATAGAGGTGTCTGCTGAATGCAGGTTTATTTCACAGTAAATGTGTGAAAAAAAGTTCGTGGCTTAAGCTGGTGTCATACAGGTTTCACTGTAAAATTATATGCTAATCATACGGAAAGGTGTCATTAAACAGGAGTAGATCATCCATGCACATCATAGACCCAGCATTTATTCAGGGGCTGGTGTTTCAGTTTTTTCTTCCCATCAATTTTGTTATCTATTAATCTTGTCATAAATTCCCTGTTTACCTGAATTACAGCAAAGTTTTTCTTAAAATTCCAATAAACACGTAAATGATGTCCCAAACTGCAGTCAATAATATTAAAACATAGAAAACAAAAATTTAGATATAGTTGAATATGAAGTATGAGAGACAACATTCGTTAGTATTCGTAAAGAATGTTTTCAGCCCCTCTAAGTTCATGGAACGATCAGCACACCTTTTGATTTGTATGACAATTGGATACAAAATTTACAGAGACTTTTCTAAAATAATATTTTGTCCACCAAGTTAACATAATTATGCAATGCTTTCAAAAATACCTGGCACCTGGTGGAGTTCTGGAGGTGTTTTGTTGTGAAAAGCCAGTGGTAATGTTAGAAGTTTTCAAAAATTAGCCCTCTAGAGGAACTTGATATAAAGGTTAAGTCTGCATACAAGCTAAGAGGCCCATCAGGCCAGAGTTTATCCCAGTTTCTGTAGGTGCTAGTCCATTGCAGGGTTACCCCCAGCCTTATATTCGCCGGTACCCATTTATAAACCTGGGTGGAGAGAGGCAATGTGAGAGTTAAGTGTCTTGTTCAAGAATACAACACAATGTCCCCAGCCAGGGCTCGAACCCGGACCACTTGATCCGGAGACAATTGCACTAACCATGAGGTGACCGCACCTCCAATAGAGGAAATTGTCATAGTCCACTCTTGTTGCTCTCTGATGGGTACAGCACCCAACTCAGCTACCTAATTGAAATAATTTTTAAAACATGGATTTTATGACACCTAACGTTATTGCCAGTAATAATTGTTTTATTAATTAAAAAAGATAAACCATGCTATCAACAATGCGCATGTTCTTTCACATGAATCCCGTAAGCATAACAAAACTCTTAAGCAAAACAAATACTGTAAATTTTCTATGACACTATGAAAGAAAAAGAGGTGCATGACGTGAAATGTTACAAAACCATGGCAAAATATGATCTATTATTAACACTATATGGAAAGAAGAGTTTGAAATAACAAGATTGAGATTATTGTAACACTTGTGTATTTTATGTGATATGTACATTCGGGAACAGCATATGAATTCTACATTTCCCGATACAAAAGGAACCAATATTAATGCCTAATGTGAACATTTAGGCATAAATATTGTTCTCATACACCTGTTTGTCTAACAACATCTTCGCCCTAAAGAGGGCTGGTCAAAATTTTGCATCTAAAATATTACTAACCCACAAAATTATCAATGATTATGGTTAACACAATGCATGAGTCACTACATACAAATTCAAAACTGTTTCTGATGCTTTGATTTATTAATGGAGCTCGGTCATGGTATTTTTGAGTTGTTTTGGTGATGTTCAAAATCACCTGCAAAATGAAGGAAACCTGAAAAAAGTTGTTCTCATAAAAGAGATAATAAGCCATAAAGGAAAAAGGATGGTTAAGGTTGGCGAAGATTAACACAGATTAAAATGGCAAACTTGAAATATTGAGCCTGAACTTTTCAAGTTGCACAAACCGTGACATAGCTCCTTTAAAGAGTGAAGTTACGTTACCGGTAATTTTACAAATGATGTGGCTGCTACACCTAACAGTTTTTAAGTTCAGACACTGACAATCTATAGAGGTTTAGTCTGTCCTTGTTTGTTAAACATTTTGATCATGCAAGCTAACTAAACTGCACTTACAACAGCAAACCATGTACGGATTGAACTGAAATGTTTATAAATGTGTGATAGCACTGGTGGGTATGGAAGTAACTCACTCTCGAAAAGTCCTTTGATATTGAAACTAGTTCAAATGTATAATACAATAAATTACTATAATTTTCTTCACTTCACAATGCCGCAAGACTACTAGTAATTGTACAAGATACCTAAACTTTTAAACAATAATCTAATTTGGCATTTACCCAATAGAGTTATCATTAATTTTATATCCCGTACGCCCTTGAACATATTTGTGGTAACTTCTCAAAGAATCTGTACCACTCAGATTCTTATTTATCAAAATAGAACTCTTCATCACATCATGCCTTTAATTTAATTTTAACTTTACTTGAATCTTGTTAGCAGCAGCAGCAGCAGCAACATTGCGAAAAATAAATTGAATTTGGCTCTGTAAACTTGAATGTAGTTAAGCTGGAAATTAGCAATGACTTCACCTAACTGTCAAAATGCTTTCTCAAGTTTACTGTTACACTGTATAAACAATTTGAAAATCTATGAACCTGTCTTTCATTCAATAACCACATAATTTTAAAACTCCCTTTGATCCCCTTCAAGATGGTAAATAACTTTTGTCCTACTACTTTGTCCAACTTGTACATAACGTACTAGTTTTGATCTTACAAAAAGTGCATTTTTGTAATTTTAGTAGTGCTTATGTGCAGTTACGCTTCAGCAGAAATACACCACATTTCTACAGAGTAGTAATCTGACAGCACTGAGCAGGGAAAATTCTCCACAAAAAGGAAGCACTGTTTTCTTAATGTTGTGTTGATCTGTAATCCTGGGAAATTTTCCTCAAAATGAAGCTGTATATTATTTAAAGTTCATTGTCTCTCTTCAGACCACATTAGCTATGAATATGCACTTGACAATGGCTTTAGTGTGTCTTCGAATGTGGGTATGTCCATACTGCTTAACATTTGAGTATAACAAAAGGATCCTGCTTCCTCTTCTGGTGTGGGTGTACTAGCCCTTGCAACAGGCTGTAATGGTGGTGGGTTGTAGCCATATAGACTATCTGTGCCATACCATGCCCTCTGAACATCAAGAGCTGGCGTGAAACCATTTTCGAGAGCAATTTTTTTCTCTGTTGTCTGGCGCAAGGTATCCAGTGTTTTTTGACGTTTTCTTGCTTGATACTCATCTACAAAGCTGAAATCGGACAAAGGTCTTGTCACTCCAGCACAGAGTAGGTCCCTTTTTGATGATCGGTTTCCTCTGGGCTTCTGTTTAGACTAAATAGATAAAATAAACATTACAAACTGTCCCAAGACAAAACATTCCTAAGGAATTCAGTCCTCCTTCAGTTTTCTTGCAAAACAACACAAACTAAAATAGAGACTAAAACTATAAATCACACCTCAAATGCTATAACTGTCAATATTAACTCACATGTGAGAGATAAACAGGAAACAACAAACTCCAAAATATATCTTCTAAGATATAATGGACTATATTATAAGCACGTAGTATCTTTTCTCAGGCCACGTCCATGACACTACACCCAAGAAATTTGAAAATGCAGCTTTAGTTATGGCTAGGCCTACCACCCACTTTAATCTGTCAAAAAACAGCTTTTCGAAAATGCTTTTCAAACTGGAGGAATTTAAAAAACACCGACTTTGCAGAAGAACATTTTGAAAATAGAGCTTTTTAAAAGCAATGACATCATGATAACCATATGATTTCCCTGTGTGAGTTTTCCTCAAACATAAATCCAAATTGACCAATGATTGTTGTGTTTTCAAATTTTCTTTCGTGTATTGAGGAGGGACAACATTTGATGCATTTTCAGGGTGAAAATGCTGTTTTACGATCTCTCCAGCATAGTGCAGACGAGGCCTCAGTCATCAGATTTCTTCTTGTGATTCTCACCTTTCCACTTGAGTTCTGTTGAGGCATCTTGCCATTTGCATGTTGTTTGAAGTGTTTCCTCAGTGAACTAGGGTCTGTGTACCTCTTGGGGCAGCCAGGGACTTGACAAGCATATGGTTTCTACAAACAGAACAAAACTAATAAGATTGCTGTTTTCCTTTCACATTGTAACAAGCATGAGAACAGAAATTCAAAATTTGACAGAGTCCTAAATGCTATTACAAGTTCCCATAGATTATTCAAACTCTTCTATTGAAAGGGCAAAGGTTACATGTATTTTAATGTAGCAAACTAGTGATGGCAGTTCTTCTGTTCATTTCTGTTTGCAAAAGTTGAATAAAAGATAATTTAGAGGAATGAAAAAAAAAATAGATTCAACTAAAACAATGATTTGTGTTTCTAAAATCATAGGTCAGCCCAGCTAATCTTGTTGACTGTTTTTTGGTTTTTCACTGGTGCAAACCTTGAATTCCTCTGAAACAATGCATCATTGAAGAAACTTTCACAAGTCATCACAGAAGAAACTCGAGGAAAAAAAAAGAAAAGTGCCAAGAAGGTGTAAATTAATTCCCAGGGACCCCCAAGAGTCCATCAAAAATTCATACCCCCTACCCTGAAAAAACAAATCACTGATTTTACAGCCATGTCATTGTGAAAGGAGATTGGGGAGATATAGATTTTTCACAGCATTATTAGGGCAAGTTGCACTGTAAGAGTAGAATTTTCTAGAAGTGTAAATTAACATCTGAAATTTTTTATGACATTTCAAAGGATGAATTATCTTACGACTGAAAACAATCCATCATGCATATTACTGGTTGGGTAAAATTATGGCTTTGTTATTTTTCTACTCTGTCTCTTTTTTCCCTCATGTTCCCTGCCTTGGTAGGCAATTCTGTCTCTGTGACATGTTTTTACTCTGATAACTTGTACACCGGATATACTAAAACATTAGGAAGAAATTTTTTCCATTAGACATACCGTATCTTGATGTGTTCTTTGATGCTTGGCTCTGTCTGATGAGTTGGAAAATGATTTTGGACAACCAAGATGTTGACACAAGTATGGCTTTTCCCCAGTGTGTGACCGCATGTGTATTTTCAGATTTTCTAGTCTTGAAAATGCTTTATTACATCCTGGAAACTGCAAGACAAAGAAGATCATCTCAAGGTCATTTGATATACTTTTTGTATAAGCTCAGCCTAAGCTAGGAAAGCCCAGGTGCCTGAGTACTAATGCTACTCATTCACCACAAGACTGGATCACATTTGCTTTTTCTGACAATATTACAACTTAAAAATAGGAGACAAAAAGGAATGTTCAGCTGTTTTGAAAGTCAAATCTCTTCTAATATGCCCCACTTGATGCTAAAATATCGACAAGAAATATTGTAGAAGAAGAGGTTTTTTTCACCACATCAGCACAATACAACAGATTTAATGTAACATTATATTATACCTCTTTTTTAACAAAACAAGGATCGACATAAACATATAAGATGTTTACCATTCATTCATAACGCTTATTAGTTGCTACATGTAGCTACATTGGACAGTATATTTTGGGTATTCTTCCACATTCTGCTTTAGCAGAGGTTATTCCAACGAAAGTTGGATAAATTAATAGGGCTGGGTGTTTGAAGACTCTGCATTTATTTGCGAGCCTTTTGTTGTCAACATCCTTTCCCCAAATCTCGGTGCTTTTTTTTTGTCTTTCAAAGTATAAGGTGAAGTTTACTAAGTCAGTATAAATATAGCTTTGAATTAACTGACAAAAAAATAACTGTCGACCAACTGTTAACCGCAACAGTCACCCAAAAGACGGCAGACAAACAGCTCAAGTCTGCTGACAGACGACTGACAATATCTTTTGGGGGCTGTTCCTCTATTCTTGATGTGCATTTCCACTCTGAACTAAGCTACATCATGTAATGACTCTTTGTAACTTGTATTTTTAGTGTTTTACATATTTAATTCTGAGTTTTTGTTAACCTTACAGAAATCATCTTTGCAATCTGATCTGATCTTGTTCAAAGTTTCAAAGCTTCTCGAGCTTGACTTGCTAGCATAGCCTGAATACACGAGAACTTTTTTCCTTGCAATGGGACATGTTTGAGAGACCACGAGATTGAACTTTTACAACACAAGCATTGCCAGGCATATCTTCTGTGTTTGTAATTCTTTATGTGGGGCTGCTTTAAGTACATTTGTGTTTTAATACCACTTCTGTGCATTTGTTTAAGGATTATTTCATCAATTTTAAGATCTGTCTGTAACAGAGATTAAACTTATGTGCTTGTAAATTGACGTTTGCTGACTAAGGTGCAATGACTTCACATTTCACAGAGGGAAAACACAAAATGTGAGCATCTATTGCAACTGAACCCTGCATAATGTTATTAAGGCTTTTAATTTTCTGTTGCTGATTTTAAAGTTCTTAAAAACACCTTTACTCAATGGCATTGTAGTGGATCTAATTTATACAAAGAGAGGTTGGTTAACCTAAAATGTTTAGTTTTGTTAGAAATAATTTTCTTGTCACAATATTGCTTCTATCAAAGATTGTTCACCTTTGCCTTTTTCTACCTATTTTCAAATAACAAAACAATTTAAAGAGGAAATAAACTTTTTATGGACCAGCTAGAGCTTTAACTTAATCCTTGCTTAGTAAAATGTAATTTCAACAATGTTAAGAGTATTGACTCTAAACTTCACAGTTCAAACATATGGTGTAAAATTCTTGGATAAGCAGTAACTTGATCACAACATCACACACCTGTCCTTTGCGTAATATAACTAGCACAAGTAGAATAGAAAAAATCGGTTCTTTACCAGCTGGAGGTTTTTAATAACGAGAGATAAAATCCATTGAAGAGGATTTAATTTTTTTCTTGCTTTTCAGTTAGATTTGATCAAGGAAATTATTTCTAACTGTATGTAGTTTTTTTTTTTCAATTTTCAGATGGACAACCATCGCATGTTATTTATTTATGGATGTCATATGATGTATCAGACAATTTTTTGTCATAAAATAGACATTTGTTGATGTTCTAGAGGACTTTTGGCCTTATACCGATGGGAAATTCATTGTCAGGAAAAATTGGGCAAAGAAGTACTATTTGGTAATTGCTGCAATCAAATTCGCCACTGAGTTTTTCATCAAATGGTTTCTGAAAACAATAGATGAATAGTTTGTTTAGGTAGCTGTGCGTCAATTTGAAATCAAACAGACTGCTGGTTGTCCGAAGTAAATGTTTAAAGTATAATGTCCCCCAAAATTAATTTGTATTTAGGGAAACAATTGAAGACGTCCAATTTCATTTAACTTTGATTGATTTAGGGAAGAAGCTTAATAAATGCTGGAAAAACCACAAAGAATTGAGTAAAAAGCAATTAAAATCCATGTAAGTTAAATTGCCTTCTGCGGCTTTTGAAAGAATTGTAAGAAAACACAGCAAAGTTTATGGTTTGTTGAAGTTCCGTGACTAAACCGACGGTGAATGGCTTGAATTAAATATGCAATTTGAAACAAAATTGCCTTTAACACAACAAACTTAAGACAATCTAGCAAATTTTTTTTTCTATTTTTGTGGCAGCAGGTGCAAGAATTTAACACACAAAAGAAACATATCAATCATATTTTTTGTCTCAAACGCAGACATCACTAGAAAAAGTCGTACACTGAGAAAATATTAAAAATACCCGTGAAAATTTTAATAAAAAAAGACGGCTATTAAATTTGCCGTGTTTACTTAAGACGCACACGTACGTGTACAGGAAAAATCGCACTTCAACAAATTATAAGCGAATTCTTTGAAGTGTTAATAAATCGAAAATAAAAAGGTTGTATGAACAATATAACACTTGATACTCAAAGCCAGCTGGTGAAGCAATACACGAATGTAAAAAAATCCTGGCAAAGTGTTCCGTGACTGAGCGAATCACGCTAACAGCAGGGAACTTGTTTACCAAGGTCAATTACTACTGAGAAACACTCGGTAGAGCTAGGGCGCTCCTAAAACTCACCCGTATTGCTCAGCAACTGAGTTCAAGCTAGATCTATTTTAGTTTACGATAAATTCAATTAAAGCAACACCCTGATTTGAAAGGAGAAACAACACTTTGGGTTCGAAAAGGTTATCTTACAACTTTTCAAAGCCGCATGTCTTTGTACAGTCTTTGTACTGTTCCGAACTCCTCCCCTCTAAGTTAGCCAACAAATGTGTTAAAGAGGCCTCTCTGTTCTTCTACACACGAGAAGCTAATCAAACAAAGAAAATACAAAATCGCGAAGGTATAATGTTACATTTTTTTTTTGTTCTTTAATTTCTTTTCTCGCGCAGAACTCGGACACTTTTCGAACAAGCAAGGTACATTAGTGTAAGAATGATTGGTTGCGAAAACAATTGTGTTTTGACCCCCCGAGTCTCAACCACATGGTGCATCTACAGCGGTCGCGAACATGCCACATTTTTGCGCGAAATTATGAGTGGCAACGTTTCACAAACCAAAGATATAATCTCTTGTGAGGCTTGGATTACCGTCTTGAACACTCATGACCCGCTAGACAGGATTTAAAATGGATTAAACCTTTTCGTGATCTACACCGTCTACTCGATGTCGATCCAAGAAATTTGTTTTTCTTTTCGGACGCCTCGAACCGCAAGTATAACAAATATGCCATTGAATTTTAAGCCCCAGAGGCCGAACTGAAAGACAAACAATGCGATTATTGTGTCTTATGCAAATCACTGCAGAAACCCTGGCGTGAAGGGACGAATGCATGCCGCATTAGAACGTCACCTATAGCTACGACGGAACGGTCTTTGAAAACGGAGAAGAGGTTTTTTCCTGACCGCAAGTTATGAAATTGTGCAACGTATTTCCTGTGCGTTTCACATGTAGCTTTGTATTAGCGGGGCAACAAAAGCCCTCGGCCCGAAGAAAAGATACTCGTGAGACTCGGTCTATGAAAACATGATTAAATTATACCGAAAATGGCATTTGAATATAAACGCTCGTGACTTCGGCTAAGCCGCGCGGTGAATGAATTGAAATTCACTTGCGGGTTTATTTTTAGAAATTCGCGCAAAACAAAAACACTATATGCGCCATGTTCGATGGAAGTGGAAAACCTCGAGGTTTGACGAAACATTTCTCCAGATCAAATTGAGTGTAAAAAATTGAGTGTAAAATAATTGACGCGATGTATTTGATAGAATGTTAAAACAATGCAAAACAAACAAGAGTTCACATAATCAGTTTGCTCTATACTCACCGTACATTTGTTGGGTTTCTCGCCCGAGTGTACTCTCATATGAATCACCAACTTGTACCGTGCGTTAAAACAACGTCGCTGTCTGCTGCAATCCTTCCAGTAACATATGTAAAGATCGTCAGCCTTTCGTTGGTCGATGTGAACTTTCTCAATATGCCGAACCAGGTCATCTTGTTCCGAATAAAGTCCATCACATCCCAGCCATTTGCAAGGGAACACACAGCTCTCCTCGCTAGGAACCGAGTCCTTTATACTGTTTGAAGAGGTCGTAGGAGGCTTCTTTTCTTTAATTGATTCTTCTCCGCTGTTCCAACTTTTCTCGTTCTCAACCTGGGGAGCTTTCTCGTCTTCTTTGTCCCTCGGCGGTGACAAAAACTTTCCAAACGTTTGCAAATGTTCCTTGAGAATCTGCTCGGATTTCGTGCGGCTTCCTGGCTTGAATAACTGCGAAAGCTTGCTTCTCGGGTCGGGAACTACTGTCACGTTGGGAGTGATCGAGTCAGCTTGGTTACTCCAGACCCGGTAATTGGCGAAAGATCTAGGATTGTAGTTCTGGTATGCTCTTGTTCTATCAAAAGCATACCCGGGGATTGATTCTGTAGGTGAAAGGTCCGAATCGGACTCGCTGTAGGGAAAAAATTGACGCGCTCGTGTTGAATGGCACGGACTGCCAAGATCGGATTCTGATGGCGCGGAGCTCCCTGTCGAGAATGACGGCGAGAAGTTATCAGCTTGAAACGGTTGTTGTCGTCCATTGAAGAGGCTACCAGCGCCATCAGAGGTCGAACTTGACCAGCTCCGGCGTTGTGGTGCTTCTGGGTAGTTGTACTGGCGAGCCGGGCCGTTTATTTGGCCGCGAGTTCCTTGAGAGCTAAACCGAGACAGCGAGACGCCATTCCGGGCGAGTTCAGACTCAAAGTTTGCCTTCTCGGCCAGCTCTGATAAGCCAGCTAGAGGGTTAATGTTCACCGATTGCGGGCAATTTTGCAGGGTCGGCGAAAGGCAGCCATTTCCAACACCTTGGGAATAATGCGCGGCAGCTTTTTCGGCCGCAAATCCATTTTGCGTGTTGAGCGCGTTAGGCAAGTTAACACCGCTTGATGTGGACATTCCACCATGTGTATTGTGATGCATGTAATGATAATCAAACATGGCTGTACTTCTCTCCGACGTAATCAGTTTTCTACTCCCGATGTCGGCAGTTAATTCTGCTTGATTAAAAGAATCGTAACTTCCACGGTAATTTCTGACTCTTGCCGCCATAGAAATCTCGTGGGCTTCACTCTGAAATTTCGGCCCTTGCGTACGAGTCGCGTAAAACCCACTTCCAGATCCATACATTATGCCGTTGAAAGGCGCAGGGGACCTCAGAGCCCTGTTGTCCGTGTCTTCAGAAATTTCACCTTCGCTCCCCTCGAGTTCCTCGGAGAAGGTTTTAAGACTGATTTCTTGCAGTTGTTCGAGGTATCTGACTGTATCTGTATAATTCTTCAAGTTGAGATCGGCATTCTCTTCTCTCATCACATTCCCCTATAACATTCAAATAACAAAGTAAACAAGATTAAACAACTGGTGAAATGAGCAAAGAGAGAAAAATGCCCCTAAACTCCCACAGGCCGGTGTCTCGCACTTGGTAAATGAAAAATAAATTCCCGGCTGAGCGATTCTGGTCATTTAAGTTACCTTGGCTTCAAATGATTTTGCTGTGAAGCCCGCGCAAAGCTCCGTTCAAACGCGCCGGGCTGATAATACGCTGTAAAAGCATGTAAATTACTTAAGGGAAAGCTGTCTTTCTCTTATCTTTACACACGAATGGAAATAACAATAGAAATGCTAAACTAGAGCACTAAATCTGCCACCTGACTTGTATGATCGCTCCGCTTTTCTGCAGGAAACCCAGCTTGATTGACACCTATTCATATTTATCACCATGGAGACTAATAAAGACTTATTAAATTTCACCGCCTCACCAATCACTTTTCAGCGCAAGGCCTCGAGAGGCGGAGAAGCTATTTTTTTCGCAGTGTTTTAACTTCATTGGCTTTGCCTTTGAACGGCCGTCATCGTTCCACCCGTAGGCAAAACGACTTTCCCAAGAATCAAAATGCCCTGAGGTGTTCGATAAGGATCTTTCTATTGGCCCATTCAGTCGGATTCATTTAAGGTGTGCATTTGAAGGGTTTCATTAAACCTGACATGAGCTTGACAGTTACTGACAAAAGCTGAGTTACGTATCATTTCCGGTATTTGTTTGTCATAAACGCGCAATTTTCGCACCAAATTGAGGTTTATTAGTTTAATATTTTACCCATCTCCACGTCACAAGCCGCTTTGAGTTGAGAAGAAACTTCTTTACCACCAGACTAAACACACCATCTTTCGCTTTGTCAATAGTTTATCGTAAAACATTTCTCAAATATGTGATAACCTCTATTCTCTTTTTATATCCAAACGCTTTTTCCTCATTTCTCGATCTCTACTTCATTCATCATTTCATGCAGCATGTCAAAATATATCAGACCGACCGGTAGATAAGTTTATTATTCAACATCCCCGTGGCTATTCTGAAATGACCACTCCTCTGCTTTCGGCGAAGCCAGATAGCGAGCCATTAAAGTAAACCGCCTTACAACAGATCCGCTTCGCTAATAGTTGTTTTATTTCCAATGAAAATTCTGCATCCGCCAGGCGGATCGTTATAAAACGCGCACGAGGGAAACATGGATTGCTGCTCGCGCCGAACGCAAATAAACATATTTGCTTCGCCACTAAAACTCTCCTTCTTTAACAAACAGATGGAAACAGATGGGTGTCATGATAAGCCTATCGAAAATCGAGCTTTGTTTCGGTTATTTTAAAGTTCCGGGCTTTCTTTTCGCCTCGAATTAACTAGGCATTACTTTATGGTTGCCGAAGGATGTAAAATTAAGCTTTGTTATTGGCCCGACCATGCGAATATCCAAAGGAAGTAAGCGGTTGGAATCAAAATAGGAGCGGAATACCTTTCAGAAGTCCTTGAGAAAATGCTGAGAACTGCGTACGCTGTCATCCGTTGTTGTGTAATTGTTGCACGGGTCTTGAGTCAGTTCGTGACACAATTACACTTTACTACTTGGCAAATTACAACAAAATGAGAAAAGTAAACTCTGCGCTCTGACAGGAAGCCTCAAATATTTCAAGCATCTGCAAGTCGAGGTTATACCTTTTTAAAACGTGTTGAACTTCTCTTCAGTCGCCAAGTGTACAGAACTGTACGGCTCTCGAGTCGACTTGTAACTAGCCCGTGTGGCAGCTTACAGTTGCCCGTTTGATAACATCACTTATAAACCCCGTAAACTAATTGACTTAGCACTTTATAAAATCAGACTAATGTGATAGGAATCTTACCTAAAGTATTAGAAAATTCCCTCTTTGTTTTTTCGCCGTGTTACAACGATTTAAAAGCCCTCCGAGAAATACGATGTTACAGTTCGATGCTTATTTTTCCTGCCAGACGATACGAGGTCGTATTTGCCCGGCATATGGTTTATATCTCATGCCAACGACGGAAACCTTGAACTAACAAGAAGTATCAATTCGCAAAAAACGTTTCCGGTGCATGCGGTAAGGTTCGGATATGCGTGACAAGATTCGCTTTTAAAAGATAAAAGCATTGGCTAGCCACATTATGACCTTAATAATCTCTCTTTTGATAATTTTTTGTGTATCAATAGGGCCGTGATATTTGCCGTTGAAACTCACAAAAGCTGAAAGACGTAAATTTGTTTAGACTGCCTTGGATCGGGCCTTTTGGGTATTTTTTTTTTCTTTTCACGCGCTTGCCGTAGCAGCGAAACTAAATCAATTTGTTTTCCTCGACAGCAAAAACGTTGCACAATGCACCTACACATGAAGCTAGCTAACCAACTGAAAAGCCAGTAAGTAAACTGTTACATACCGCCTTAGCTGACATGGCGAAGTCCGACTTCGTTTTGCTCCGACTAAAAATTTTTATTAGAATCTACAGTCCAGTTCAGTTGTTTTGAGTTTTGGAGTTAAAATTCCTTCTATTTTCGGTTCTGTTTTTCAAAACACTGCCTTCTTGAATAATAAACACTGAAGTAGGTTCTCTGTTTTCGACGGTCGTGATTGGCTCAATTCTGAAAACCCACTCAAAAGCAAAAGTGAGTCAAATCATGATCATTGCTTCGAGAACATGAAATCATTGAACCGAGTGGTGTTTGGCTGTATTCCGGATTCTTGTTAATAATCCGCCGGAACTTGTTCTGAGCCTTGCCTGAAGTAAGCCTGGAGCTATTTTGTGGAGAAATAACTCTGTGAGTCATACAACGCCACGACACAGCTAGGATCGATCGAAAAAGTCTTTTTAACGAAGAGAAGAAAATCGCACATGTTCCAGTGCTGCTCTCCGGTTATTTGAAAGTCTGTAATAAAGGCTTCGCCGCGAGCATAACAAGCCTGCCTAACTGGTGAATATTCGTTTAGCTCTTTTTTTTTTTTTTTTTTTTTTCAGGAGTATTGTGTTGAGAGTACTTTGGGGAATGAATTCACTGCAAGAGTTCCGATTGAATCAAGCCGGCTTCTTAAAAGCTTCCGCTCTTGAAGAGTGCTAGATAAGCTTATGTTCCTCGAGCAGCCTCGTCGAACTCTCTTGCTGTTATGTTCATTCTTTTGCATAGTAACACTGATTTCTCGTCAAATTGAAATTATTTTGAATATTTTAAGACTAAAACCATGACTTGGCATATGGTTTGAATTTTCTGTTATTGGCTCATCCTTTACGCTTTGGTGCGCGCTCTGTCGAAACATTGCCTTCAAACAAAGCGCCTTAGTCCAGTCTGAGGGAGCGCAGTCACAGTCTGTCTCTAAAACTATCCTGGCTGTTTTCCGCAGCTTCAGCTGTAACATCTAAACAATCTTTCTTATCAGGGTTATCATCCAGGCCTTACACAACGTGGGAGACTTTATTATCCAATTGTAACACAGCGCGATTTTACTCTTCAGTGTTCTTTGCTTCTCTGCTGCACTTTCGTGAGGCGTCGCAGACCGTAATTGGTCCCGGATGTACTTTAAGAGCGTAGTTTACGTCAGAGCAGGGAACTGACAGCCATTCGTCGAAATTTGCATAGTCACGATTTAGGTCAAACTTGATAAAACCTTAATCAGAGGGGAGGCCTCAGGTTTTTTTTGGTGGGAGATTTTAAAGGGGTTCCTTGACTCGGTGTGGACGAAGAACTGTAATATAAAAACGCGGGCATGTGCCGGTTTACGCTATTACGCAACTTGTCGGCAATGAAGTTTTTAAAATCCTCCCCAAAAGCAAAGAGCGTAAAGGTGAACCTAAGATCAACCTTATATTGATCACTCAGTTAAAAGTCAGGCAAGCCTCTTTTGCCCTTAGTCATTCGTGACTTAAAGTTTACAACTAAATTTGTGTGTTCTTGAAAAGTTCATCTTATCTTTTATAAGAAAATCAAAGTTATATGATACACTTTTTGATTATTTTATCACATTTTGCTAGACTTTCAATATTTATCGAAAATCAAAGTTTTCCCTTCGGCTGACCCCACTTGATTCACTTTCCTTTGTGTAGTTTACGCAGGAAAACTTTCCCTGGGGAACACTTATTTTAGGCGTCGGTTCGACAAACTCAAGCGTTATAGTTTCGCTTATCATGGTAGCAGACGTTTTCTTGTAGTGGCTGCCGAGTATTGGGTATGAGTAAAGATTTAAAGTTCACTTTCTGGCTCTAATTAGCGAGTACCTCTGATATTGGTGCTTCGGGAAGTTAATCCCATTGAAATTTCCGCTGCAAAGCGGTTTATCTGTTGATTCTACAATTTCAGCCTTCTTGTGTAAATAAATTTTAAAGTTACAAGAAGTCCAAACTAGTGATTCGCATGACTTTGGCAATGTTTCTGACTCAGCACTTCTATGATCCTTAGTCACTGCTAATGGCTTTCTTCAAAGTCTTTTGAAATTGTATTGATGTAACTTTGTCAATTCTGTTGTTGAGAAAAGTGGAACCAAAATGCTATCGAAAACTTGTTGGAACAAGAACTTCAAATCAAGTTTTCCCACAAATTCTCAGTACGTTTCACTGAGTTTCTTATTGTATTTTTGAGTTGCTTGCAAGCCGAAGTGTATCAAAACTGGCCTTGTGCACCTGCAGAATCCATTGGTAAAAGGTAGCAATGAAAGCTTGCTAAAATCACAGTCTTGTATAAATTAATAAACCGAAGGAGGCATATCCTTAGATTAAATGCTGTTTAGCTACTCCAGTAAATCAAGTCAGAAGAGAGCAAGGTTTTCTCTTTACCTCATCACGCGGCTCCGGACTTGGAAGAAGTTGCATGTTCCTAGACTAGGTTCGCTGTCTACACTAAGCGCTGGTCGCAAAGGCCACTCATTATGTAGTAATTAAAAAAGCCGGCTATTTGCATTAGAATCGTGGGCTCGCGTGCCCAAACTTTCCTATGTAATTTTTAGAGCCAATAACTCTTTCTATTTGACAAGTCATTAAGTATCCAAAAATAAAACACGCTGCTAAGGGTCTGACTCGACCAAGCGTAAAAATGAATGCTTCTCTAGTTCATTGGTTCATTCTAGAGTGTTGAAATTGTTAAATTGTTCGGCGGTTGTTGCGTCATCTTTGGCTGTACTCAGCCTAACCGCGCTCACCTTTAGGTTGCGTGCAGACAATTGTAAGAGCGTTTATGTAATTACTTTCCGCGCACGAAAAGTTTTTTTACTTTTGCATAGTCACCGATCAAAGATTCCATAGCCAAAAAACACACCATTACTAAGAAATCGTCCAGTATTTCCACAAAAGCCTTGTGATACAATTACAACTTAACTCGAAGAGTACTTAGTGAAGTGCGTTCTTTTTTTAAGTTCTTACCGTTGGGAATATAGATTCCAAAACCTCCTCCATGTCAGTTATTTCCACCTTCATTGCTTACCGTTCTCTCTGTTGCTCCAGTGATATTTCGGCAGTGTTCTTTGAATTAAGGACTTTTTCTTTTTCTTACCAGGCAGGGAAAGCACTTGAGAGATTTTTTTTCTCAGGCGTAGCCTTCAGATAAAACGTGCTCGATATCTGCAAGATATTAGCACAAGAAACACACTTGATGAGCATTTTGCACATTTTTTGGGATTTTCCTCAAGTTTTCTTGAGGGAACTATATTTCTCTACTGAACAAAATCTTGAAAGGTTTAACAAACAAGTTTATTAACTGTTAGCTATTTATTACGCGCCTCGTCCGGTTTAAATCACCGTAGTTCTTTAAGAAGAAGGGTAATTTTTCTTTTAGTGAGTGTCTCTAACTGAGTACCAACAAATTTCTTAATCATCATAGGTGTATCACTCTTTTGTTTAAATGGATTTTAACTTTTATTCTTTTCTCCTAGGAAACAATACCATCGTTATGACTAGTTCCTTTTCGAGTTTAAAAATAGTCTTGTACTCTGATTGCTTGTGTAAGTACTTAGACGCATTTGAAAATACAAGATTCTTATACTTCTAAACTTTGTTCGCTTTCCAATAATGGCCATGGCATTTCAATTTTGCGTCGATTCTTGACGATTAAGGCATCTTGAAGCCCTTCAAGCCCGAGTGACAGATAACTACGTAATTATACGTCATTTAACTCCTCATTGATCGTTCATGTCACGTGATTTTGCACGTGCTTTGAAGCATAGCCGTCCAGTATACGCATGCGTGTCCGACCTCTAGCATGAGTCAGCTAGCAACGGTCAAACGTTTACCTGATTTTTTAACGTTAACCTCGATCGTCAATAGCCTTAGGCCTTACTAATGACTGACTAATTAATTGATTAATTAGCGAATTAACTAGCATGCGTTTCAAAAAGTTACGCAATCGTCTTAGCGAAGTCTTGCAGCCTTTAAGGTTTCATCAAAACCTTTAGTTTTACAATGTCTCAAGTCTCAACAAAATCATCTTCTTTCGGTCCCAATCTTCACTTAAACGACTTTACTTAACATATGAGTCCCGCTTTAGTGTTTCAGTTCGTGGTAGAATGTATCTTATAAATTCGACCTTGTTCCCAATTTAGTTAGGGTTTCATGCTTTAATTGTGGTTAAGGAATGGGACTTTGCGATCAAAGACCCTTTGTCACCAAAGTACATGCGCAGTAGTGTCTATCCCTCGAACGTGACAGTTGTGTGGGAAAGTGAAAATATAACTTCAATTTGTGGTTGTTTCCACTGTGTGAACTCCACTTTCGCGTCTTGTGACATGGCAGTTTCTTTATCACATGACTGAGCAACCCCGCGGTTGAAAATCTTTCTGTATAACGCACTGACAACCTCTCTTTTCCGACCACCCAAATTGTCGAGCGTGGTTGTTATAAGATGTTTCACTGATATACTTAAGTGTTATTTGGCTCTAGGAGAAAAATTTCGTCTTTGGTATATTTTAATTACTCTGAAATAATAGGTAGTTTAGCCGTATTTACTGCTAATTTTGAATATAAATAATGCTACACTTTTCTAACTTATTAAAGAATGTTTAGTATAGTGTTCGTATTTTTAACCATATTAGTGAGTACTCTCCTCTCCTCATCTCTCAGTCTCCTGGCTCACCCTACATAGATAGTTCCTTTAGGCTCCATTGTAGTTGCGAATACCAAGGTGATCTCCCTAACATATGTTTCTTGTGTTTAATTTATTTTGTTCTTTACGTTCATACTATTCAAATATTCCAGTGACCCACTGGAAAGGCTTTTATCTTTAACACTTTACTTTCATGTTGTTGAGGTACTGCGTTTTGAAATATTTCTTGGCATCAATGTGTTTGAGAAATATTTATTCGATTTCTGAAAATTTAGTAATCACTAATCCGCATCCTTCTGTCTTAAAAGTTGATCAGCAGCTAATTTCTCATCACGATACCAAAACAAAATCAGCCGTGCTGGTCATGAGAGTAAATGAAACGATCACAGAGAGAAAACTGTCTTGATAAATAAATCAACCCTCCCAGCAAGCATTATAAGAAATGTAAGAGGGCCAGTTGGGAGAACTTAGAATCCCGTCAGTAAACGCGTTATCAGCGAGAAGTACGCGTTATAGGGTTGGCGTTAGAAGTTTTTTTTGTGTGTGCTTCTGTTAATTGTTTCGCAGCGTTGCAGGTTATATGATTAACTTCAATGGTTCTCTGTTCCTTTGATTTTTAGAAAAAAGGGAACAACCAAACATTTTATCGATTAAGAGCAACTAAATAAGTCTAAGAAACTGATAACCTACGACTGAATAAAATTGCCATATTAATTTCATATTGCTCATTATTGTTCGTAGCTGTTAGAAGAAAACACTCCACACATGGACTGAAATGTCAAGTATCTCACACCAAGGTTAGTGTCTTTCAAGATAACAACACTTTGGCTTATTCTGTCTGCATTTGTTGGAAACTGATCTTGATTGCAAAAAGCAGATTAAGTAGCTTTGTAACAGTCTGAATCGTTCAAGACACCCAATGGAACGGTTCGGTACATTATCTGCTCGGAAGGCCTTAAAATGAACAAAAAAGGCCCAACAATGTCGAGAAGACTCGCGTCCCCCTAGAATGGCCCGACACTGAGATACAAATTATATAGTGTAGCCTAAAATTAAGATACAGGGCTTTAAAACACTCCAGATGGCTTAAAACAGCGTTTTGAAGCATTTGAGAGGGTGCCCGGTAGAAAGTCATGTAGTTCAGGTGTGGGTCATCATGTTCTTCGACTTGTGTTGTGTTGTATTCTTGAGCAAGACACTTCACTATCACAGAGCCTCTTATAAGCTTCTCATCCCAGGATTATAATAGGGGAGCAGTGAATTCTTAAGACAACTCGACAAAATGTTATGGTGTAACCTGCAATGCTCTACCAACTCTTGTAGTACTGGCAGTCGCTTTATGTAGCTACATAAGCTGGAACCAGTCGAACATTTCCGGATACGAAAAATACCTCCATACTTATGGACACTTCTATTTTACGAAAACGTCATTATCTCTCAGAAAAACCAGAAGTTCTATCATCTTAACCTCTTTAAACCTCAAAACCTCCATAATACTGACCTTTCTAAGTTACGGATAGCTCATTTTGTCGTGGAGAAACCAAAATTAGCATTATCTCTACCTTCATACAATATGTTCTTCTCCATAATACAGACACTCAACCCTGGACCTCTGGTGTTCGTATTAAAAAGATTTCGCTGCGTCAGCTGTATGAACTATCATATAGGCTCTATAAAGCTGATTTTTGTTATGTTTTGTTTTTAGTAAGGCAATTTGAAAGTCGAAACGCTGTGATATCTAACTGAAAAAAAAACCAAAAGAACAAACTGCAGCTCAACAGTCATAACGTATATTACTACTTCGTTAACTCTTAGTCATTGTGAGATGACAATTCATTAGATTAATTAGTTCAGGAATGTTTTTATGGGTCAGTTTGGGACTGTTTAGTTTAATTTCATTACCAGTCTTACGTACACTTTCACTTCCATATTCTCACTTACCAAAATCTTCCCAATTGTTCAGTACAGTTCATTGAGCTGCGGCTGTTTTCTGTTTAGTCTTATGTCGTCTTTCTTCGTGCCCTGTGTTGAAAACAAAATGAATATTCGGCTCTAAGCAACGTTAAATACGCTTGCAAGTATTTCCTGTGAGCTGAGGACCTCAACTTTTACGCGACGGTTTGAGAGTATCAAGTGTCTTTTGTATAAAACCCCTTTGTCCAAAAAAGTCAGCCAAGTCGCAGCTTAGGAATTTAAGTGGATAATCCAAAGAATAGACTAGTGCAATCATATTTGCTTTGAAAACATTACCACAAAAATGATAAAAAGGATATCTTTTCCATGATAAGTTTGTTTTTCCTTTTTTCATTCCACGTACCTCATACTAAAGTCACCTTCGGCTGTATATCTAGAGCATCAAACTAAGTCGTAGTGAGCACAGCTAGACTAAGGAATCGTAAAGTTTTTAAACGCATAAGCTCCAATAAAGCGAGTAAAGTTCTGCTATTGTTTGTGGTGTACTATTGATGGTTATTAAATTGGTTTTTTGGGCAGATATCTTTCTTTTCTCTCTCCCATTGTTAACAACAACGGGCAGATATCTGTCTATATCACACGCAAAGAACCCTGCATAATTTACAAACGAGAACACCAGTCTTGACACGATGCTGAACAACTCTCTTACAAAAGCTACGTGTGGAGTCTAAACAAAAACTGGCAAACGTTTTACCTGAAGGAACGTGTAAAATGCTTCGGAACTCCACCTAGTTAATGGACGATTAATAGTTGGTTCATTCTAATCCACTTGAGTGGTTACCACCCATTTCCGTTTTCGCTCGAAATTTTCTTTCGTTTTGTCAAGGGAGTTTCTCAAGGCAGTGGTATTCGCATGTTTGATCGATGTTGTTGGTAGTTTGTTAGAGCATACAGGTCAACGCTTCCAACTTCCTGTGAGGTGATTTTTATCGATCTACAACTGTTTTATTCATGATATTCCACACGAAATGCACGCAAGATTACTGAGTATAGTGAACAGATTATCGAGACAATTATATAATCATTCTTCTTTCAACTCAAGTTTCAAGTACGTAGATGCTAAAACCCGATGCAGACGCAAGGATTATAAACTAATAGCGTTTAGATTTGTTCAGTTCTCACGAAAATAACTACTGAAAAATCTACTCTAAAGCAATATCTGTACAAACAATACCATCAGAGATCCGACCCAAGTGTCACGTACCTTAGTCAAGAACGTGACTTAGAACTGAAGTGGACGGCAGCGATCTAATCAGTGCCTTAACTTCAAAATATATATTAATAGACCTCAGGCTTTTAAAACACTTCAGTGGTTGGTTTGGTTAATTCCTTTTCCGGTATATTTTCTGATTAAGATGTTGGTATCGCCTATCCATACGTTTTCAGACATGGAACCGCAAAAGTTATTTTAAAAAACCCTTTAGGTACAGAACAAAGTGCAATATGTACCTTGCTCGATTACGTCTTCTCAAAAATACCTCACACTAGGATGGCATTTCTTTACTTAACGCGTATTTAACTATTCGAAATTTATAAAGGTTAAATTTTTAATATTTTGCTATACGATTGTTTTAGTTTTGCTTGCGTTTCTGAGCAGCAAATTCTTTAGAAAGGTTTATACTATGCTTTCGTGCTTTTTACAGCTTAAGGGTCGCTAATGGAGTGAGTATCGAGTGAAAAATTCACAGATATGGTCGTACGTCGAGTTTCAATGTGCTCCCGTTGTATATCTCGTCCATGGTGTCATTTTTCGTGATCTAAACAAAACCGTCTGAATGATATATCAAGACAGTGGACGAAAACCCTAAACTTCTTAATTCCGTTGTTTCTTTAATTTCCTTATATTGCTTTGTTTTTAATCAATTTTATCAGTGATCCAAACCGAACTCAACACAACACAGTGCGGTCCAGTATGTAGCCCAATTGAAGTTTTTTTTTCTTTGCCCCACTCACTGCTCATATCAAACGCTATATACCGAAATAAACATTCTAGGACCTTCCAGTGCTTGACTTATAACAAGTACATTTCTTGTGCTTCAGACAAAGTTTGTTCCGTTACCCCAAGACTTGATATCAACGTTTATATGGGTCTTGTCAGTGTTTCTAGAAAGCTCGTAAGCTGCTTGGTTAAGGTCAAGTTCCGTTTAGTTAAGAACTCCTTAAGTATTAACGCGACTTCCTTATGAAAAATGCCTTTTCTCTGTAGTGGCCCTTGTGGTGTGAGGTTAGTTTGTGTATGTTTCTAGAAAGATCCGCCAAAATGACCTCGTATTAGCCTGGATCAGTTCTATTCGTAGTAAAAGTCAAATTATGGCTAGTGCGTTTTTAATTCTTGGACAGTTTCACGCTATTGATCAATGAGGGGTGAGGGGTACCCACCCTCATCTACAAAACAAAAACAGCTCATCTAAGAGCTTTGCTAAATTCACTCCTAGTTTAGTGACTAAACTCCTGGTGGTCTGAAAAGCACTGAAGGTTGCTCATCAGAAGTGCCCTCGGCTTTACAGCTGAAAGCCACTTTCTCAAACAAGAAAGATAGTTCGAGAGTACTAGCGCTTGTAACAGCCCGTAGTAAGTGCCTCGATGAAAAATTACATGCAAGGAAAATCATGTGGTTTGAGTACGAGATAGTGTGGTTCAACTGTAAAGTTTCTGTAGCAAGAAGCAACTTGGTGCATTGGTACACTCCATGGATGGGATGCTAGTCCATCGCAGGGTTACCGTCAAGCATTCTATCAGGTTTTCTAACAGATTACCAGCACCCATTTATACAATTGGATGGAGAGGGGCATTGTGAGAGTTAAGTGTCTTGCCCAAGAACAAGGATCCATTCCGGGCCTGCTCAAACCTGCATGGACCTCTTGTTCTGGAGTACAGCTCACTAAGTAGTCTATATAGTACCTCTTCTTTTGGCCAACGGCTTATGCTTTATAAATGTGCAACGTTTTTTACCTGCGTGGGTGCTCAATTCATCTGTGTTTGCGGGTCAGACCTCTTTGTAAACTGATACACAGGCAGTCTATACCGAACACGTTTGTAGCAAGCTTGATACTAATTCAAAACCCTGTTAGAACTGGCTTTTTGCCCACAAGGCCGCTATTGCATGGATGCTAATACAGTGGACTCCAGTAGCTGTTATTTTTTATTGCATATTAAGTGCCAGAGGATCTTGTATATTAAACTAGTATTGTCAAAAGTTCTTGCCTTTTAAATCAGACTGGAGATTTTACTTGTTTTTTTCCAATTAACCTTTGTCCAGTTTCTAAAACCGGACCTAATAATAACTCTCTGCAACGAGCTCAGTTACGCAGAATGTTAAACAAACTGAGATGACCTGGAAATATCAAAGCTCCTTCTTAGCTAAAACAGAACACAGTTGCAGAGTAGGCAGTAGCTATAGCCGACTATATATGCCAAGCAGACCGGTAGAAAAAATGAAGATTGATGAACTAGCAAATTCTCAAAGGTGATTTTGAAAGATTCATATGAAAATCATTAAGGAGAAATTATATTTTATTCTAGGGATGGTTTCAATACCAAGTTTGTGGGCAGCGATTTCTAAACATGTACAACTGCATGCTAGACGCATTCTCTCAGAAGCTGTGTTCGTATGGGTTCGCAAATAATAGGTACTTTTATGTAGTTTAAGCGGTTAGATTGTCTCTAGTTCGTCTTGTGTGATCGTCCGGGTGAGGGTAGTTCTGAAGAGAACTGTTGTTGTGACTTCCGCTCACGTTGTCGAAACGTCAGTCACCATCAACAGTTCTTTTCAGAACTACCCTCACCCGGACAATCACAAAACTTGACGAACTACTGATACTCCTGGGTTCAAACCGTTTGCTATAGATTGCCTCAGGGTAAGATTGTGCTTCTCTGGTTCTTTAGAAATGTTTATTGTTACATAACAGCGATGATCATTCAAATCTTTAGAACTATTTTATTGTTATTTAAATAAAGCTGAGAGCACTACATTTGAAACAGACGCCGTGAGCTGTCGTTCACTCCTTTGTGAAATTTAAAGTCCATTGTGGTGGTCAGCGCAAAACGGAAATTTCCCAAGAGTTACACCAAACAATAGCTATATCGTGTGAGTGTTCGTGTAAGTAAGCAAAGCTACAACCATAACCTTATTTGGTCCTTATTGAACTGCTTGCTAGATTGTTTTCAGTAGATTTTACAAAGTTATCGCTAATAAAGTGCTTGCGGTTCCAATCAGGAGCATTATCTAATGATTGACCGTGCCTGCTTAAAGCTTTTATGGCATGCGAGCTAATATGTGTGTGTACGGGAAGAGTAGGTTCGATTCACGCTTTGATAAGCGGCGAATGCGTGGGTTAAAAACAAACGTTTTTGTGGTGAAAATTAACGAGCGAGCCACCGATTTCGACACACCCACAGATTTCCATCCCAAACACATCCCTGTCAAAGTTCGTTGGACACGAATCACACATTAGCATAATTAGTGTCCTAATGAGCTATAGCTTTCGTTGTAATTAAAATTTTACACTTAACGATTTTAAAGAGGCCCTTGAAGACTAGAAAACACTGTCAATATGAGTGAAGTTTTAATCTCAACTCAAAAGTTTCTTTCAAATTATATTGATCACCAACGGTGAAAGTTTCAACCCTGGTTCTAAAATTACCTCCGGGTATCAAAAGCCAAGTGTTCTGCAAGTGACTCAGTATTACGTCAGTTGTCATAGAAACCAATGATTGACAGTTAATGTGTCTCATTATTTTCACCGTTTTAGGGTTTCTTTTCACGTGATATTGCATCTTTTATTATAATGTTGGAAACGCAGGAGTCAAATTCACACGAAATGTGTCCTGCAGATGTTATCTGCAAGGTCAAGTCGTAATTGCAGTCTGGAAGATTCCAAATAGTTTTAAATAAGGCCTTCTAAGAGAAACCCTTAATTCTAAGAGTGTGCTCAACTTTCTCGTGCAGGCTGTTAAATGCTTTGCAGTGTAATGGAGCAGATAGAAATGCTCAAGAGACGTTGGCCAAAAACGTTACTCGTGTTGCCTTTAACTCCAATATCGTCACGTGAAAGAAACACTTTGAACTTTGAAGCTGGGTCCTCTACCGAGGAGGGGGGTACTCCCTTAAATTGGTTATATAGGTATGTGCGGTCCAAAAGGGTAGGGTTTTGCAGCCTTTTTGGTCATAAATAGAGTATCGATTTTGGCCATTTTGGTCATAAATAGGGTATGGTTTTTGCACTCTAGTCTTGAATAAGGTATGTTTTTAAGAAGCTACTTTTTCATCATTATCAATAAGACCATCAGCAAAAACCCTTTACAAATTATGTTTACAGCAATTTAAAATTGGTCTGAACTAGGGAACTAATTATATGGCAGGTCTGAAACAAGCTACTGATTCATTAAGGGTTAGGTCATAAATGGGGTATCGAATATTTGGTCAGGTCATAAATAGGGTAGGAAAAATCGCAGATTTTGGTCATAAATAGGGTAAGGGTTTTGGGAAGCGGGCCGCACACCCCACCCAATTTTTCTGGGAGTACCTCCCCCCGGGTCTTCTAAAGTATCGGAAACCGTGAAAGATAAATACTGCAACTTAATTATGCAGATATTGGACTTACTTTCTGCTCAATCTGACCGTGTGTAGTTTTGCATATTGCCACTGTGAAACTTTACTGATAAGGTAGTTTTCAACAGTTATCAGTAAGATTGTGACCTCTTTACTTTAATTATTTTTCAAGTTTGTCGGTTTGGCTTACAGGAAGAAGGATGATATGTCTAAACCAAACCTTAAATGCAAGAACTGTTCCTAAACCCGCATAAAAGCATCAGTAAAAATAGCAAGGCACTATTTCGCAATAACGTATATATTTTTTTTTGCAAAACTTGAGCCTTGTTTTCAAGTTAGTCCATATTGAAATCTATTTCCATCCTCGCTGTTGTCAGCCATTCTCTCTCGCTAAAGAGTTTTACAAAACGAAACCATGATTGTTGATTTTTCTATGATCTACGTGGTTTTTCGCTCGGTTCTTTACTGAACCTGTGTTAAAGATAAAAAAGCTTTGGATCTTTGTACACCAACGGTTAGCTATCCTCGATTACTCTTTTTAAAGCACGGAAAATGATCAATGCTGATTTTTGGGTGTGTGAACAGGTTATTAAAACCGGTGTTGCGCAGTTTTGACTAAACCAAAACGGCAATTAGCCCTTTGTAGAAAATTCCACCCTCTTGAAAATACCGCAACCGTAGAATGAAATTAAGCCAGTTTGGGAAAATTCGATTTCTAATAACTGCTGCCATATTTGATTTCTTATTTCGAAGTCGTAAGTATTCTTTAAACTTATTTAAACTTAAGAAAGCTGACAAAGAATATTAACGATCAATTTAGACTATTTAGAGTAGTGAAGTTGTCCTTTGTGTTTGCTATAATGCTTTCGCATTTCCGTATATTAATTCCACGCAATTAATTTTGTAATTAACTCTTTTGCTTATGTAACTCTGCCGCCGAAAGCGTGCAGGCCATCATGCACGTTTTCTATGTCACTGACGGAAAAAGAACCATCTTATAAATTTTTTCAAACTCATTAATAATTCATCAAGTTCAAACAAAGGAAACCATAACCGTGACGGTGTTTGGATATCTGATCTTAATAAGCATAGATTTTTACGACTTTATTTCTCCGTTTTCTCCTCAGTTTTAGTTTCGAGATATATCAAACACTCAAGACGGTGTTTGACCACGTATCCAAACACCTCGACGTTCGTCAAGAATACTCCGCAGCGCGTCGCATTTTCAATTCTCTTCTCGGTGTTTGGAAATGTGGTCAAACACGGTCTTTCCTGTTTGATATACTAATTACCGCACTAAAAGCCCACCATCTCTTTTATTACTATATGACTGGAAAAATGCCAGTTATGGATCGATATTCCATTCCTAGCAGTATGTCGGATGAGTATCACATGACCTTAGTGCATCCACACTATACATCAGGAGGACTTAGGTTTGAATCCTAGCTGGAGAACTCGGAACTCCTTTTCCGAGCATGCCTGTGTCACTGGTAGAAAAAAAAAATCGCCTTCTCATACACGTTTTTACTTTTTAATTGATTTTTCAGATTTGTTTCTGACTTTTAAAGGACGATACACAAATTTACCATAAAAACGAGGAAGACTGCAAAGTAAAACATTACTATGGCAGAGATAGTACCACAAACTGATTAAAAGCAAAAAGAAACAAGATGGTTAAGACTGGGCAAGATTGAGCCTACATCACGCTTTGCACATCTTGAAAAGCTTAACCTAAATGTGTCAAATTCGTCGTTTGAAATCCGCGTTAATCTTCTCCATCCTTAACCATTCTTGTTCATTTATTGTTTATTATTATCTCTTTGGTGTTTTCCTATCTTATTAAACTTCTATTCTCACGTTTCCTTCAATTTAAAGGTAATTTTCTAAGTGGCCAAAATAACTCAAAATATCGTGACTGACGCTCCTTTCAAAATTAACGACGATCTTTTGAATATTCTCGGTTAAAGTTTTCAAGATACACCATCTGTGACATATCTCCTTTGAAATTACTGCCATAAAATTTTACTGTTAATTTTGTGACATTGTACTGATAAACATGATTACTATCACGATTTCACTTCACCACAACTTGGCATAATGAATCATTAATGTCATTAGTTAGTGTTTTTTGTTTTTTTTGGTTACTTTTTTAAGCAACCGCAAATAACTTTGGAAATTTGTAAACATCATTATAGGTCAGGTGTCAGAGTACTTCAAACGGACTCGGATTTTAATGGCTGGCCCCCTTAAAGCCCTTTTCGGCGCACAAAACAGTGTTTTTTTTGTTGTTTTTTTTCGTGGTGTAGTGAATATTTATCATAAGGCAGCTTTTACTGTACAGACTCTGTACATAGCAAGCGCTAATTGAGGTACCGTGGTGAGACAGAGAAGAGAGTGAGTTAAGCCTGCAGTTTGACCTTAAATAAAACATAGTAATAATTACAACAATGTATTTCTTAGACTAATAAAACAAATATATACAGTCAACTAGGTTATAAAAAGGGAAAGCTGAGATATATGACAACTAATAAATAACAAGCTCTTGTTCTTCTTGGGGCATCCTTTTCCTTTCGACCCGTTTCTATCAAAATTAGCGGCTTGAGTTATGAATCAAGGGTTACTCGTAACATGATTGATTTTTCTTGGACATAGATTGACCAAGTTTTCCTTTTTTACCATTTGACTAAATTTTCTTTCCTCTTACCTATAATACTATTTTATAAAATAAACAAAACAGTATGCTCTCAGTAATTGGCTGAAAGCCATTTACATAACTAAAACTTCATGATAACAGGAAACTATATGAAGTGTTGTTATTTCACAATAGAAATAGATATTAAATTTTTTCCTTGTTTCTTCTAAGTTGTAGAAGCTCTGGTGGAGGCTTAGGAGAACTCGAAAGAGCTGTGAAAATACCCGCCTCTGGCTCGTCATTACTCCACTGAGTAACTCGTGTTACAACCATGACAATGTAAAACTCTGAATGTGCTTTCTGTTTTTTTATTGGTAGATATCTACTATTCTATCACGTATGCTCTTCTCTGATTGGCTACGCAACTCACGATCTATTCTGCTGTATCTAGTAGGTAGCTTAGCAGTTTGCGGTTAACAAAATGGTGGCCGCTTCTTTGCGTTTTCGAAGTGTCTTTGAAGAGGATTTGGAGACTAGTGACATTTGAACTAAAACAATCAGATTATTCACCTACGATTTCTATGCGTGATAGAAATCTCGAGCTCACAATGTAACTGTTTAATAGAAAGTGCAAAAAGTATGTTTTTATTTCTCGGATTATGCTAAAGGAACATACCTCCCACTGCTCACTCATTTCCATCCGATGATGGCTTCCTGTGCGCTCTTAAAAACCAATGTGACACTATACGGATGTCTCTAGTTCTTCGTCGTCAAATTGGAAAGAATTTTCTGCTCAAGTCTTATTCGTTTG